TAAAGTAGGTCTATTATCCCCATTTTGCAAATGAGAAAACCGATTCTAAGAGGTTAAGTTGACATGGCCAAGGCATACAGTAAACTAAGAGATAGGGTTCAAACCCGGGACTTGAGGTTCCCAGTCAGATGTTCTAATGGCCAGCAGCTACTGCTTCTCCCTGGTGCTCTCTCAGACTCTGTACTTGTCATATGTTTCAATGAAGGTGACCTGAGACCAACCAGTTTGTTTCTTAGGGGAGGCGGCCATTCCCCGGTCCTTTCTCGACCTGTCATCTGAATGGCCCAGTACATACAGCCATTCCCATGAACCAGTGATATGGTCGTTAGTTCCATTGGTGTTGAATATGGCCTGGATACCTGGCTGCCTCTTAGCCTGTTACAGAGAGTACTTGGGAGGAGGCCCAGGGTAGGAGGAAGCCTAAAGGAGGCCAAATAAATCTCTTATATTCCTGAGCCTTGCTTTTCTGTTATCTGACTGCTAGGGTTGAGAAACCCCATGGCCAAGTCAAGTTGTCAGGTTCAATACTAGATGACCAGAGGCAGCTAGGAAGGGATGAGAATCACAGAGTGAGCGGGAAGCGGAGCCTGACCTATAGCTGCCCCTCCACTGGTACCCTCCACTAGGAAAGACCTTCTGTCCCAGCAGCAACCGCCTTTGCCATCAGCCTTTGCTATGTTTTCCCCAGATTTATGCATTGATCTTCCTTTATTTATCATTCACCCTTTGTCCTTTTTGCAGAAACAGGACATCACGTACTTGCTTTTCTCGATTTGCCCACTGTAGGCACTTGGGTGCAGTGGCAGAATTTTAACCTCGTCTTCCTGATTTTGTGTCCATATGTGTGAATATTGGTGCTTAGATTGCCTCTCTTGTATCATTGTGAAATGAATTATAGTCCAGAACCTGGGCTCTCGGAGAGATCCCTGGAGTCCAACTGCCCTGGCCTCTGCCTCTGGGCAGGTCTATATCTGAATGGAGCCAAAGGGCTCCTGACTGTTCTTGGGGGCATCCAGAGGGGTGGAAGAGAAGCTGAGTGAGGGCTCCAGGTGCTGGGCAGTCTATGTTCATTTAAAGCACCTGTTTCATATTTTGAGACTTTGAGTAATGTTTCACTAGTTAAAAATGCTTTGCTCATAAGAGTAGAAGATTGAGGGGCGCCTGGGTGGCTCAGTGGGTTGGGGCCTCTGCCTTTGGCTTCAGATAATGGTCTCGGGGTCCTGGGATGGAGCCCTGCATCAGGCTATCTGCTCGGTGGGGGGCCTGCCCCCCACCCCCCTGCCTGCCTCTTTGCCAACTTGTGATCTTTGTCTGTCAAATAAATAAATAAATAAATAAATCTTTTTTTTTTTTTTTTTTTTTTAAAGAGTAGAAGGTTGAGATACTGGTCTGTGCCAAGTAGGTGGGATTCATGTTCTCCTTTGAAAGAATTTCAGAAATGAAAATTTAAGCCAATTATGCTTGATTTCCTAGATTGTATAGGGAATGCTAATTTGTGAGAGAGGCAGGTCTGAGTGACTCTGAAGACACTGGAAGTAGGATTTATTTCTTTGAAACTCAGCAGGTATCCCTAGAGTACCTGCCCCTCCAAGGGTGTTGAGTTTTCCAACTCTAAAATGGCACCTTCTGGAGTTGACTGTTACAATAACCTCATGTAACCCAATGCATAACCTTGTACTATACAAGGGTGCAGGGTGATGAGACAGAGAAACCTCAGATCTCCTGCCCCAGAGTGAATTACAGTCTATTTAAGGAAAGAGCCCTCCATTGTTAAGGTTTAAAGGGAGCCCTCACATAGTTCTTTCCTTCCTTGCCTGTTATCAGAAGCAATTGAGAGAGATTCAGAACTCAGGCAAATGGAGGTTAAAATATCCCCTTCAGGACCAGCAAAGCTGATCCTAGAGAATGTAGTTTATGTCTGTGGACAAGTAAAGTTTCCAAAAGTGAGTCCTAGAATCAGACTTCTGCACCCAACACAGGTAGCACTGGAGAACCGCAGGCTTCTCCTCCTATCGGTCATCGCCCTACCATTTTGAGTTCTCCCCTAACATCTTCTATAGATGGGGAAGCAGAGCAGGGTGGGAATTCATCTCTGAGAAAGCAGATGAAGAGAAGTGGTTGAGCTACATATGTCCTCTGGATTACCAACCTAGAGAAAAGACTCGGGAGTTCCTTTGAAGTCTGTCTGTCCATGAGGAGATACTAGATCAGGGAGAAGGAGGTTCCCTCCCTCAAGAAGCCCAACTGATCAATTAGACACATGCTCTAAGGCGTCCTGGCTATATGAATTTTGGTATAAGATTCGTATTTATTGCCTGAAAAGAAATGATTGGAATAGCACGTGTTTAATCAGGGAGCGTTTCTGGAGGAAGCATTGGGCTCAGTTTGGTGGAGAGAAGTGCACAGTTTTAAATAGATTGACCTCTGGAAGTAGAGGAGGGGGGAGTTCAAGATGAGCTTGAACTGCTGTAAAATGAAAAAGGCCTTCCACCGTGACAAACACAGTGGGCTCTCATGATCTGGGAGGTGTGGGTAATGTCATCAACCCCAGGAGCCATAAATGGAATATGAAGATTAGATGGCACAGTCCCAGCTGGAAAAGTTCACAGGCATGGGGCCCAGCTGATAAGTACTGTGGGTGGCCCATAGGTGGCAGCTGGGAAGGTTATGGTTCCAGGGATTCCAACAAAAGATGAAGCTCTTAGGTTAGATCTCATGAGTGGGGGGGGCCTCTCCTCTCATTCCTTACTGGTTTGATAAATTAGCAGCATTTTCTGGTTTACCATCTGAAAAAAAAAATTGCTTAATTTTTTTTTTTTTTTTTTAAGAGCAGAAAGAAAATGGTGTTTTGATTTGTTTGCTTTTTGTCTTACTGCTATAGGATGTAAGGGAGAGCTGTGGGTGTGTAAGTTCAATTGGTGTGACGCTTTGAGTTTTCTGTTGTTTAATTGAAAATGGTTTAAAATCCCATAGTTTCTGAGCAGGGAACTGGGAAGAATAGTAATATAAAATCCCATAGTTTCTGAGCAGGGAACTGGGAAGAAGAGTAATATAGACCTTTCAAAAACAGTAGGTGATTCAAAGGCCATATTCTTTTTGATTTTGGAAGGCTATGTGTGATTTTTGGTATAGTGGATTTTTCTTTCAAAACACTTTTTTCATAGGGTGACGTTATAACTTGTTTGTCTTCTAAGAGCGCCCAGAAACTGGCAGCTGAAAATTATGGAACAGAAAATCGACAGAGGAATAAAATTAACTATGGATGAATGTATAGATAATGAAGATGTAAGGAGAATATATTCCCATCTGATCTATTTGCTGCCTGTTTGACTATATATTTTATGGTTATTTATGCTTCCATCTGAGTAAGTGGGATAGCCAGATGTGTAAACTGGGTATTGTTAAGTTGGATTGGCTAATCCTCATGTCAGTCAGGTGTCTGTCTGGCCATGTTGTCGTGTAATGTAGAGTTTGCCATGATTGCCCGCAGAGAGGCCCAGAGATACCTCTTGGGGATTTATTTCCATCTCCCAAGATTCAGTGAGTTGTTTGCTTGCTATCTTAAAATAAAATAATATATGTAAAATGCTGAACACAATGCCTGGTATATAGGAAGCTTCTCTACTTCTTTTTGTAAAATATTTTATTTATTTATTTGACACGCAGAGAGAGAGAGAGAAAGAGAGTGCACAAACAGAGGGATTGACAGAGAGAGAGAGAGAGAGAGAGAGAGAGAGAGAGAAGCAAGCTTCCTGCTGATCAGGAAACCCAAGGGAGGGAGGTAGGGCTCAATCCCAGAACCCTGGGATCATAACTTGAGTCCAAGACAGATGTTTAACCAACTGAGCCACCCAGGTGCCCCAGGAAGTTTCTCTAATTCTTAACATGGAGAAATACTTACTGTATTTTAACCTGAAAGTGGTTATAAAATAGCATGTAAAGTATTATCCCAGTTCTGCAAAATTCAGCAAATAGTTGAGTCCTTATATCCCAGATGCTGTTTAAGGGGATATGAGAACTAGATAGGGAAGAACTTGCATTTCTTTATGTCTCATTTAATTTTGCATCACAGAATTGTTTGGTGTGGCTGGCTAGGATGTCCTCTATAGATAGAAAATATTTGTTTTCCCTAATTCTGTTTTGGAAGCCAGGCACTGACTTTGTGTAGATAGTGGTTGACACCTGAGTGAGTGCCCTCCCTGAGAAGTTAGATGAGTCCTGCCCACCTTCTCTTTGTGTGGATTAGGGCAGTGCTTTGGAAGAGCTCATTTATCCCATTTTCACTCAGGAATTAGGATTGGAAGTGGAAACACAGTGGCTGAGCTCCATAAAGCACTAAGGTAAACATAGCCCGAAGCCACACGGGAACCTCCCTTTTTGAGGGAGTCATTGCTGGGAGAATGATCAGGGTGGTTCTCTTCTTTCTTCAGTGTGTTGTCATTTGCCCATTGCTTTGGACCTTTTGGGTTTTTATTTTGGGGAGAGAGACTTAGAAATACAGCTTTTGGTCCATGGTTGATTGAGCGTGTGAGTCAAATTGATAGATGCCCAAACTGGATTTGGACACTGGGGCCCTTTAGCAATGGAAATTCGAGTTTGCAGTGGTTCTACCAGCCATGGTTGGCAATGCCTGTCCTGGTCCCTGCTCTTTACTTGTCTACGGCATGGTCTAAGGTAAGTATTTAAGTATCTGTACCTTAGTGACTTTCCATAAGATCAGAAGGGATTTTTCAACCCATTTTCTAATCCTTTTGCAAGGGTTAAAAGACCTACATTTATAAAATATTGGAACCAGAAGAAAATCCCTGCCAAATAGTCACTGTGAAAATTTCTTATCCTAGCAAGAAGAGGAATTCACGGTATGACATCCCAGCCCCTGAAGAAATGAAACCATTTAAGAATGAGAAATTATTTGTACCTATTCATTCCCAAGTCTTTTTTTTCAGAGCCCCTCATGTGAGAATGCAAATTACTGACCAACCTTTTGATATTTCTTTCAGGGACGCCTGTGTGGTTCTTTGTGAAAATTGCTCCAATTCGAAATGAACAGGATAAAGTGGTTTTATTCCTTTGCACTTTCAGTGACATAACAGCTTTCAAACAGCCAATTGAGGATGATTCATGTAAAGGTGTGTAATTCTGATTGTGCGCATATATTTATGCACTGTTTTTTTTTTTTTTAATCCTGTGGTGTGACCCCCCCCCTTCCAGAGAATTTGAGGTTGCCAAGGCAATCTCTGCTCAAAGATCAAGATTTAAACTTTAATTTGTGTCAGGTAAAGCATTGTAACATTCTGGAATGTATTAAGGGGGAAGAAGAGAGGGGATAAAAGCTTTGTTTAGGAAAGCATTTGAATCAGTTTTATACCTTTTTAGATTAACCCTTTCCAGTAACGATTAGACAGAAGAAGGGAGCTGGGCACCTCTGGTAGCAGCAGCTTCTTTTCCGGGGTCCCCAGGAGATGCCGGCACCCAAATGAGGCAGTCCATGGCTACATTCATCTTATTTGTATGTAAACTTTGTTAGATTTGATTGACTTCCTGTATTTCAGGATTGTTAAAGTAGATTTTAACACATCTCTGCCTCTGTGGTTGATTGAGTTAAGTCTTGGCTGGTGAATTCATTGGAAATGTGGTATTAATGAGGTCTTGAGTAACATTTGCATATGGGTCATTTAATCAGCCTGTGACTGCAGATGGCAGTGCTCACTTCAGCTGTATCACGGGCATGTATTCTTTAAGTAACACTGGGGGCCAAGGAAGGAAAGGGCTCAGAATTTCGAGAACGATGGTACTCCTGAAGAGCTTGAGCTAATCAGATACACACAAGGTGGCATGTTATTCCTGGAGGTGTGGAATTCGGGGGCGTCCCAGCGCTCTCTTCTGTCCCTCTTCCCCAGCATGCACATGAGGTAACCTGGACGCTGTAGCTCCCCTTAGTTGTAGTGCTTCTAGGGCCTGTGGCTGATTTTCCAGCTCCCTGAGAACCATGCTCCTTGAGGTTTCCCGAGATGCACCAGAGAGATCTGAGCGGAGTCCAGGGAGAAGCCAAATGGGGATGTGACAACATTGTGATTGTTAAATGTGCCTAATAGGAGGAAATAAAACGCGTGATGTGGCTCCTCTCCTGGGCTGTGTCCTGTAGCACGTCTGGAGGCCTACATTTATAAAGTTCAGAGCACAACACTGTGTATAACTATCATTGTAGTTTTCATCATATTTTTCCTTTTAACTATCTGATAACCCAGTAAATCAATTGTAGCCTTCCTCTTGGTTTCAAGACGGCAGCAGGTGTAAAGTTTCTCAAAGAGCACTCCAGCCTCCTGCAGTCTCTTATTTTTCTTGCGGGTTTGTGATTCCCCGATTTCTGGATTCTAGCTTGAAGATTTCTCAGTATGATAGTGATTCCACGGTGAAAGACCGACTCATGATTAAGTATCACCCTGCTACCCTCTAGAAAAGCGCTTTGCTTCTTTAATTGAATAAACTCATAAACAATTAAAGGCCGTTAGATATTTTGCCATTTGTCTTTGTAAGTTTTGTCTTAAAAATGTAAAGAGTCAGCATGTTGGTTGAGTCAGGCTGCTTGCCTCTCGCCACCGCTGGAACATCTTTGGGTGACACGCAAATGTTGTTTAGTAGGAAAGCTGTCCTCAGCAGTGAGCACGCCTCACGTGCCACGGAGGCTTCTGCATTCGGCTCTCGGGAGATGTGAACGAGGCGATCAATCAAAGTGAGGTGGTGAGATTCGCCTCAGTTTATTGTCCAGGAAAAAAATATGCTCTACGTCTTTTAACTTGAGTCAGTGATGCATTTCCGTGCTGATGAGTGTTTGGGTGCATGTGCACGCACGCACACATGCATGCTCACAAGCACACACGCACGCGTGCTTCAGTACTCCCTGTAGGAATGCTGCTAGTAATCGCTTAAAGCCTTCCCCAAGACATGACTTTTTAAGTCTGTCCATTTCCAGTGCCACGACAGATTATATTTGGACCCTCCCTCCTGTTATGTCACTGTGCCCCTGGCCTCCTTTGAGTGGAGCACTCTACTTAGGACAAGGTCACATTTTATATTCGTCAGTTTATGGTGGAAGAGCTTGAGAGCTGCCCAGGCCTTGTTCATTTTAAGTCTATAAACTGAAGCTCTGGCTGCAAGGATCCAGTCTAGGAAGATACTTTGCCATGTGGCTGGATTGTTCTTCTGACTTGACGTTTCTTCTTGGATGTACTCTCCCATTGGGAGCTTCTGGAAGATTCTAGCTGGGTTTTCAGTGCAGCACCCCAGTCGGCAGTAGGAGTCTTGAGAGCCTTGCTGACCCAGGGTTATTGGGAATTCACTTTTGAGCGGGAAGGGGAATGTGGCTTATCCAAATCCCCAGAAATCCCCAGATAATTGCTCTTTGGCTTAGGAGCACATATTTCCCACTATCAGATTCACCCTTTGCTTTAGTCAGCTGTGCTCAAATTATCTTTAAAAGGAGATTGTGCCCCTTGATCACGCAGTGCCTAACTCTGGGGCTTGGGACGGGGCTAAGTGCCTTGCTAGTGATGGAAGAAGCCAGCGGGTGCCTCACATTTCCCCATAAACAAGCAGCTGTGGACTATTTCAGCATCAGACACAAAGTAACTCCCCTTCCCCCAGGCCCCTCTTTGACTGAGCGTATCAATTCTCAAGCTCCTTTGTAGGAATGATCCAGGCCCCTGACCACCTCATCTTTTCTTTTCTGCCCATCTTTTGACTGCTTCCCCTGGTTTCTGATAAAAAGTGACCACAGATGGCGGGAAATGCAGGTCAGGCTACAGCTCTGTGTGTGTGTGTGTGTGTGTGTGTGTGTGTGTGTGTGTGTGTATTTGAAGTCAGAATGAGAGAGTAGATGGGAATTCTTGGTTGAAATGAGAATCTGTAATGTTCCAGGGGTTTTGTTTTTCCTAATCTCTTACTTATCTGTTTTTTTAAGTTTAAATTCAATTAATTAACATATAGTGTATTATTAGTTTCAGAGGTAGAGGTCAGTGATTCATCGGTTTTATATAACACCCAGTGCTCATTACATCACGTGCCCTCCTTGATGCCCATCACCCAGTTACCCCATCCCCTCATCTCCCCCCTCCAGCAACCCTCAGTTTGTTTCCTATGATTAAGAGTCTCTTATAGGGGCGCCTGGGTGGCTCAGTGGGTTAAGCCTCTGCCTTTGGCTCAGGTCATGATCCCAGAGTCCTGGGATCGAGTCCCGCATCGGGCTCTCTGCTCAGCAGGGAGCCTGCTTCCCTCTCTCTCTCTGCCTGCCTCTCTGCCTCCTTGTGATCTCTGTCTGTCAAATAAATTAAAAAAAAAAAAAAAGAGTCTCTTATGATTTGTCTCCCTCTCTGATTTCATGTTGTTTTATTTTTTCCTCTCTTCCCCTGTGATCTTCTGTTGTGTTTCTTAAATTCCACATATGAGTGAGATGATATGGTGATTGTCTTTCTCTGATTGACTTATTTTCCTTTCTTACTTTCTGTTATTATAGATAATTGTTAGTGGCCGCAGGATATTTTTCTCTGTCCTATTCTCCCCTTTGAGCGAGGAGGCTTGGGTACATGGGTAGAGAAGAATTGGATGGTAAGGCTCAGAGTTTTCTCTCCCCATTGTTCCCTGAAGGATGAGGCTGAGTCATCCCTCTTGTTTTGTCTCTTACCCCACCAAATAATCTCACATTAAAGGAGTGAATTCACTTTTAAAGACTCACGTATTTACTTTCACACAGTAAACTTGAGCCAGATTCAGATCAAAAAAGGAACGTAAAACTTTAGAGGAGATTTTTAAAGGCCAAGATTGAGGATGTGTGGGGAGGAGGGCTCGAGCAAGCTATTGTAACTGCAGACCCTTCCCCGTATCTCTTTCTGTGTGATGTTTGTGAGGCAGTCTTGGAAAAGAATCTGGGCAGTGGATACAAGCCACAGGTCCCCTTGGCTCCTCCGATACTAACATTTTGTCTGTCCGCCCTTGGGATGACAGAAAGGTGATGATTTAGTGACTGCTCCTTGAAGAAGCCACTCTAGAGTTTTGGTTATTTCTACACTGTTGAGGAAAAGATCAGGGGAGGAGGACCTGAGAATCCTTAGGCAGTGTCCACACTGACTGTCCATCTTGGTCCCCGGTGTCCTCTATTCTCTTGCATACATTGGGTTATGGCACCAGGTCCTCTAAGAGAATCTGTGATTCTGCAGATTAGGACCCGCCTGTCCTCACAGCCTCCCCATCAAAGTCAGGACTCCTACCAGCCATCCTCTGCAACTTCTACTCAAAGCGACTTGGCATTCTTTCCCAGGGCGGGGGCCTGAACGTCAGTCTTGTCTCCTATCCCTGAACTTACTTACCCTTGGAGGAGCTGGGATTTCATTCCATCCCAGAACCCTCTTGTCTGGCTGAGGGAGGATACAGGGCTGTGTGGGCTCAAGCAGCCTGGTGGGGGTCTCACCCACATTGAATTCTGTTGTGTGCTATTGTGTGGTCAGGGAAGGGGGATGTGGTTGTCCTTATGGAGAGTGGAGAAAGGATCCAAGGAGTACTTTTTAGCCAGCTGCTGGATTGTACATTGTGTTTTGTGCCTTCTTCTGCTTTCATGCCTCCCCTTCCTGTCCACCCCCTCTCACCCCAAAGACACCCAGTACCTGTGTGTGCTGGATAGATACAAGTCAGCCTGAGACCTGGGGGAGTATAAAAAGAGGGAGTGGGCAGTTCTGCCTGTGGAGGGGCAGTATCCAGGAAGGGCACTTTTGAACCTCATCTTCCTGTGGAAAAGGTCCACTGTGCTTCCCCGAAGGAAAGTCATCCTGAGCTAGGTTCTCATTGGGTTGTCTCCTCCCATGTGGCCTTTCGGACAATAAGAAATTGTTTCCAGGAGGGTTTCTCCTGATGGCTCTGGTCCAAATGGTACCTGTTATGTTCCATCATGTGCGTTTGCTTCTCTGACATGTTTTTACTCTCATTGTGTGGCTGTCACCCCAGTTCCCCAAACCAGGAACCCAGAGACTGCCTGGGTTGCCTCTTCTTTCCTTCTGCAGCTGTTTCTCCCCGAGTTCTGGGGGTCCTACCCCTACAGCTGTTCTCAAGCTCTCCTTGTTGCCGGGCCCAGGCCCTGGGATTGTCCACGCATGCAGGACCTCTTGCCTGGGGTCCTGACTGGTCTTTTATCTGTCAACCTTGTTTATTAAAAGCCTACCATGCTTGTTCCCATTCTGTCTTTCTAAAGTGAAGTTGGTGTGTTTCTTCCTTCCCAACCTATTAAAACTCCTTCCTGGTTCCCCATGGGTTTCAGGATGAAGTTCAAATTTCTTAACCTGTTATCTTGGTTCTTACCACTGACATTCTTCTCCCCGTGGCCCCTGGCAACCACTTTAACATCACTTCAGGCCATGGGCTTCACCCTTCTTCCCTCTACCAGCTGTGCCTCCTTCATCTAGCCTTTTAGGTTGTCTTACTCTTCACTGACATATTACTCTGTTTTATGGTTTTTGCCTTTGCAGGTGCTGTGCTTTCTGTGTATAACGTCTCTCTTTTTCTTCTTGTGTTTTAATTCCTACTCATCTTTCAAAATTTTGTTCTGGTGTCACTTCCTCTGCCCTAACCCTAAGCTATGCCTTCATCAGACAGTCTTGACCATACCATCCTATACTCATGTCTGTCCCAGAACTTAGCTTCCATATCACAGCTTTTTAAAAATTTATCAGTCAGTCTTCCCTGCTGGGGTGCATGCTCTTTGAAGCCGGAATCTGTATCTTATTGATCTTAGTATCTCCAGTACCTAGCACTATGCCTGGCATGTAACAATTATGTTTACAGAATAAATACAAGAATGAAGGAAGTTTTTCATCAGGCCCATTAGAAAATATCTATATTTCAGCAAGGAAAACATGGGGTGGAACTTGGAAGAGAACTTATTTCCTTCCTTCAGAACAGGCAGAGCCTGACCATGCTGATAGAGGTGTGATGGAGAATTTTACACTCTTGGTCCATTTCCCCATCCAACACCCATTCATCTTCCTCTGCCTTCCACTCAGCCAGTGGAGAGCCAGCTCCTTTGAGAGTCACATTCCTGGAAAGGTTTCAGGGCTAGCCCAGAGCGCGAGAGGCTAGCCAGAGCCTGGGGAAATGCCCAGCGGTCCAGGGATCTTTCTTTTCATCCCTTGTGCTAGATCAGCTTATGGACCGGGACCCTGAGCTCCCTGCCAGGCAGGGTCTGGGGTATCTGTCATGCCACCTCCTTCTTATCATCTGTCTCAGAGTTTGGATAGTGGTGGTGGTGAAGTGATGGTAGCAGAGGGGTGGCTTGGATTGAGGGCTTGCAGAGCCCTTGCTGATCTTTTCATGCACAGCTGTGCTTTACCTGATGGAAAAATATACTTTCTGTTCTTGAAAAGCTTTGCAGAATTCGATTGCAGTTTTGTTTCCAGCTGAAAGAGCCTAACTCTGAAAAAATCCAAGTTCAGTACTAGGCTCTTTGGGATTCCTGTTATTTGGGGAACCTGTCACCAACAGTCCTTCCCCCATCCCAGAACAGGCTAAAATATGCCCTTGCTTTCTCCCCACCTATCCAGGGATTAGATTCTTTTCTTATTCCCCTGGCTTTGGAGATTGTAATGCACTGGATGGCCATTTAACTAGTTTGTCCTTGCCACCCCTGGAACCAGCTCGGTCTCTGCTAGATCAGACCATGTGGGGGTTGGGAGCAGCCTGAGCCCAGTCACAAATTCAGAGAAATAGCTCAACTGTGGTATCATCTAGCAGGAAAGCGTTGGGCCAGAGTGGAAAGATCTGGGTTCTGAAATCTTTGTAATTGTCTAGGCATTCTGTGCCTTGGTTTCCCCATTTGTAAAACGGAACTAAAACTGCCCTACTTACGTCACAAAGCTATGATTAGAACAAAGTGAAAGTGCAGGTAAAAGTAAATTGCTACACAACTTTGAGTGTGTCTAGATGCTTTTCTGAGAGCCAGTCTGGGTTGGGAGGAATGCAGAGGAACTCACAGGAGCTCAGGAGGACAGTGGGTGTGTGGGCTCCCAACAGTGTAACCGGTGGTGTGAATGTCCGTGACCTTCAGGACGTGATTGAAGCTGTCTTTTCTCTCCTCTGCATGCTCCAGGCTGGGGGAAGTTTGCTCGGCTGACCAGAGCTCTGACGAGCAGCAGGGGCGTCCTGCAGCAGCTGGCTCCCAGCGTTCAAAAAGGCGAGAATGTCCACAAGCACTCCCGCCTGGCTGAGGTAAGGGCAAGGGGCTAGCTCTTCGTAAACCTCACTTTCCTGGGTCCGTGTGCTAAAAAAAGGGTACAGAACAAGTGCATGGTTTGGAAGGGACCTTCAGGACCCTCAGATTCATGTCTTGGTTGGGTACACATCATGATGTGTGACTTTGGGAAAGTGACCTCAGTCCTTTGACCTCTGGATTTTCCGTTAAGTAAAAGGAGTCTGCAGACCATTCCAGTCCAGCTTATTGAGATTACATGTGTCAATTCATTTTCTTGAGAGAGTAGGGAAGGAGGTAGAAGTGCTACATATATGAAGGGGTGTTTATTTATAAACCATAAATAATTTCATTATTTGATTAATATATATTAGAGGAAAACAATAGGAAACAAACAAAAATCACCTGCAATCCCACTAACCAGGTGGCTTTGTGATAATTTTTGTATGCATTCTTTAAGTTTTTGTTAAGTATATCCTATTACCTAAAGACCAATAAATACATTCTTTCATAGTTAATATTTATGAAGTTCAAATGTATCTAAGAATCAATGCATACATTTAATGTGGTTGTGTTACCTTTTCTTCACTTTATATAATCATGAACATCTTTCCAGGTTAATAAAAGTACTTGAATTTATCATTGTTCTGGTAACCTTTGTCATAAGGAAAGCCTGTGGTGGTGGTATTTTCCCAGTTGCAGGGACAAACGAGTGGCTGGGAAGCCTGGGCAAGGGGGTTCACTAGGCTTAATGCACCCCAGTGATTCTTACCAGTTTTGGTGGTTCTGCATCCAAATTGTGTATTATCTTTGATGGTGCCTGGCCTTCATTTTTCCCACTCAGCCTGGGTGGAGAGTGAAGAGTGTTACCCTTGCGCATGGCATGTTTCCGTCTTACCCAGAGATGACAACATAAGCTATCTGTTTGCGGGCTGATGGCCCTCAGTTCTTGGCCCTTGTTCATATGACTGGGTCATCTCTAGCCTGACTCCTGGCTCCCTAAGGGAGGAATAGCCAGCTTGGTGCAGCTCACATTCAGGGCTCTGAATATTAGATGGTTCACTACTGATGATCTCCTTGCGGCATCCCAGAACCTCTGCCAACAGTGGGGATGAGAGCATTCGCCGTGTCACGTTAGAAAAGAAAAGGCACTTGGAAGCATAGCTTTTGGTCCTGATGTGGGCTCAGTACATCATGGAAAGAAAACTAAAGGAGACCTTTTGGCATACAGGCTGCACTTGTCCTGTCCCTGCTGCTGCTTTTTGTTAATAAAGCAATCTCCTTTCCTGCTGCTCTCTGCCTTGCTTACTCTTACTCAGTCGCATTACTGCTGTGTGCTCCTTGTGCACACCAGGCTCGCTTTTCACTCAGATGTCTTGTGTGGCAGCTCCTTCACCAGCTGCAAGTCTTGCTTGGCTCAAGTGTCTTTTTCTCAGGGGGGCTACCTGCATCAGTCAGGGTTCTCCCAGAGAGATAGAACCACAAGGCTATTTATATATTCAGAGATTTCTTGCAAGGAGTTGGTTTATGAGACTATGGGGACTGGCTAGGTGAGTCCAAAATTCATAGGGCAGCTTGGCCAACTGGAAACTCTTGGAAGAATCCAATGCTAAAGTCCACAGGTGGTATTTTTTTTAATTTTTAAATTTTTTATAAACATATAATATATTTTTATCCCCAGGGGTACAGGTCTGTGAATCGCCAGGTTTACACACTTCATAGCACTCACCATAGCACATACCCTCCCCAATGTCCATAACCCTACCCCCCCAACCCCCCTCCCCCCAGCAAACCTCAGTTTGTTTTGTGAGATTAAGAGTCACTTATGGTTTGTCTCCCTCTCAATCCCATCTTGTTTCATTTATTCTTCTCCTACCCCCTTAACCCCCCA